CCCCTCTTACTCATACCACCCTCGATTTCTTTCCAAAATAAGTCTACCTTTTCCTCTACAAGCTGTTCCATGTCTAGGTCAGATACGCCAGGCTGCATGAACATCAGATCTTCAGGTCACAAAAGAGCATAGAAACATTATAACCATAGTTACACCCAGTACCTCCCTCGTCTTTGGCTTGACCAATCCAAAGAGACGATGAAAGAGGATTGCATCGAGTATGGCGCGAAGAACATCTTTTATGGTGTGCCGGTCAAGAGTCTGAATGAGATATGTTGAGTGCCCATTAGTTTGAATGGAGACTTGGAAGAGTAAGAACCTTACCAGGTCGATGGTGATAGTATGATAAGTGTTCATTTCCCCCTGTGAGTAAACCATTGCCAACGCTTAATGATTGTGAATAAGATAAGATAAGACTCGTTAATCTTTTCGGCATTGGTTGGTGCCAAATTGCCAAAGACCATTGAATGTGTCTTTCTTCCCCCGTTCAACCTTCTCACTTCTCAGTGAGTTGTCCCTATACATGCTTCCCTCGTAATCCTCTCGTACTTGTTGGAGGAGTTCATTGCTCCTAAGTTCAAAACATTATTCACTTGGAATAAGTATACACACGATTGAACAGACTTGTTACGTGCATCTGAAGCTAACTAAACAGTGTATATGAGGCGATGGGATGAGATTCGAGGCTCTCAGCTAGTTAGTTAGCCCTTCATCAACTATGTTCCCGAACATATTCAGATAAAAATGGTTTCATCAAGCTGGCAGGTTCAGCCTCACATATACTGTTTGGTCGGGGTTGCTGTCAGTTTCCACCTCTCATCTGAGTCCAATCCTTGAGCTAATCGGGTTCAACATTGTATAACATGACTTATTGACCACGACGAGCTCGGTTCATCCTTACTGGAAAACCGACAACCTACTAACTCCGCTTTTCAGAGGATCGTCCAATCCGATCAGGGACGAGCTAGTTTTTGAAACTATCAAATCCGGTGAGTCCGTGCAATTATCATCTTTATGTATCCCTCTGAAGCTAAATCATACGAGAGGAACTGGGGCCTCAGGAATCTTTAATTACTTACTTCATTGTACGAGAAGTAGCACCCGAATTTACGCAGAGAAAACCTTCCTTTTCGTGAAGGTGCTATCGAGAGGGATAGGAACGGGGTGCATCATGTCATACTCATAGTGAGTGTTCATTCCACAGTATCTCATCACTTCCATCTCTGTCATCATTACCTGTAGGAAGAGAGCGTTCGACATACTTAGTGTGGACAACTGTCAGAATTGTGACGCCCTTAGTCCCTACAAGAAGATCGATCTGTACGAGGTAGCTCGGATTGATCCCGAACTTCCAATTGAAACCATCATGATTAACCTGATTACCCTCCGCGACGATGTTATGGACATACATAGCCTGTCGGAATATAAAGTGAGTACATTGACAAAGGCACATGCTACAAATCCACGTTTTCGAAGAAGTTGTTTTATCTGCATGAATATATCACGTCCTCAATAGCCGCCGTTGAAGTCAAAGTCAGTGCATGGGAATGCGAAGAGGAATAGAAAGACCTTATTGCAGCCAATACGCAGCTGGGCGTCGCTGGTTTAGCACATTCACCTCTAGGACCAAAGCTACTCACGGGCACTATTACAAAGAGTTTTGCAGATGATCTTTCAGGTAAGCGAATCTTCCTGCTACTGTGATGATTATAAGTAATCCAGAGGGTGATTACCGGGCCAGATCCAATCGCTTTCCAGAGGATACCGAGGCAAATCTGGCCATTGTCGGAGAATTGAGAGCAATCGCAGCAAATAATAATCCTCCATCACCGTAGGACAATTGTGTAGCGTTTCCTGGCCCGACCATTACCTCTCCCTGGATCATCGTGTGTTTTATATTCTTGTCGATTGTGATTATCTGCCAATTTGGTCTTCATTACAAGCAAAGCAGCCCGTACTTTGAGAAACGCGGAGGCTGGCGATGTACGTTGACGATTAAAACTATTGAAAAGGTGCTGGCTGACTGTGCTGTTTTGAGAGTTCGAATTGAGATCAAGTATTAATCGGATCTAAAAAATCAATCCCAAAGTAATGAACAACCTCGTGATAGCGTTCTGGTCCGACCTGTTGCCGAAGATTGCGATTGCTCGCCTGGCTTATCAATGTATCCCTCGTCAGCTAGTCTCGGCAAACGGAAACATTGATTATGCAAATGACCTTATAACAACCCCGCCGAGTGCACACGCCATTCGAGTCAAGAACCATTGAAGACATAAAAGACAAGGAGTCGAGAAAGAATCCTCCATCACATTCGAAAAACACCCTTGAAAGAAGAATGGTCTCTCAATCAGTCAAGCTAGGAGGTTCAGCTTCAAACATCTCTGTCGGGAAAGTTGCTGTTGGTTCTCGTTCTACATTCTATCTGAGTCTTTCACTGACTAGACTTAATTAGCATGGGCTGATGCTCTTGACGTGTGTACCAGATCTCTTCATCGTTGCGACAACCTTCTAACCACCAAATCATCCACCATGGCTACTTGCATATTCTATACAGCGCGGTCAGCGATGAGCAAGCGTTCGAGGCTATCAAAGCAGGAGTCGATGCTCTTCCTTTTGGGGCGAAGATGTTTTTGAATACTGGTAAGAAACGCTACGTACCTTCAATCCACAAAGTGCTATCCTAACCACCTCTTCCGTGTGACTCAAGGTGAATTCTACGACAAGACCTGGGGCATCGGAAACCTCTTGTTGCTCTCTCGATTCTTTGAAAAGTACCCCGAATACGCGGAGAAGACCTTTCTCTCTGTAAAAGGCGCCATGAAACCGGATGGTCAAGGATTAATTAAGCCTGATTCATCGTTAGTTTGTCAATGTTGTTTTCCGGAATCTTGCAGGTTCTCAAACGCTGCATCTACTATCTACTATTCACTAGGATGGAGTATCTCCAACACAGCGTGGATAATTGTCAGAAAGCACTTGGACCTAACAAGAAGATCGACTTGTACGAGCCAGCCCGGATCGATCCAAAGGTCCCGTTCGAGACAATCATGAGTAACTTGATTACTCTGCGCGATGAAGGAAAATTCGGACATATTGGTCTATCGGAATGTAAAGGGAGTACTTTGAGGAAAGCTTATGAAGTAAGCGTTCACTATGCTTTATTCGATTCATCCGATTATATTAATCGTAACGCCTCATAGCTCTATCCCGGATCCGTAGCTGCCGTAGAAGTGGAAGTCAGTGCATGGGAGTATGGACAGGAACAGAAAGATCTCATCGCAGCTGCTACCGAGTTAGGCGTGGCCGTTTTAGCATATTCTCCTCTCGGACATGGGCTTCTCACAGGAACTATCAAGAGTTCTACAGATCTTCCAGGTAAGTTAGAACGCAAATCGTTATCAATAATTCCCTTGATGAACAGGCATGCCAACTTTCCTCCTTCCTCAATCTGCTTCTGTCGTTTTACAAATGGGTATCAATGATTAACATGTCCACACTTCAATAGAGGGAGATTTCCGCGCCAAGTTCGACCGCTTCAAGGAGGATAATATCAAGGCCAATCTGGCCATTGTTGAAGGCTTGAAAGCAATTGCAGAGAGTAGAAAGCCATCTATTACTCCGGGACAGCTGTGCATTGCTTGGGTGGCATCCCTTGGCCCGACTATGATTCCTCTCCCTGGATCATCGTACGTGGTTTTCCCCAATTCTCTTTCCCAGTCTCATTGCTTTTTATTTTCAAACCCGTAGCAAAGCCACGCGTACTTTGGAAAACCTGGAGGCAGGTGATATAGAGTTGACGAGCGAAGAGATCAAAGCCATCGAGAAGGTTTTGGCCGAACATCCTGTGTCAGGTGAAAGGTATCTCGGCGGAGCTGCGAATGCACATCTGCATCTCTGGGGTTGAAGTTTTCGAGTCGATTGATCAAGATCATGAAATTATCGGTGTTTGCAATGTTCCTGTATGTCAGCTTGACCATGGTTAATGAAATCTTTGGTACCTTTTCCCGGGTAGAGCTTAGGAAATTGGATTGTTGGTTGTTGGCCTGGTAGACATTGTCTTTACAAGTAACACTGATCATGTCTCTCAGACTTGAGTGAGAGAGAGGGGAATAGCCTCTCAGTTGTCGAGAATCTGTCAGTCGAGGATTTGAATTGGTTATTGTAAGTTTTGAAAGACGTATAAATAATCGCAGACCTTCCTGTTTAACATATTGTACTTGAGCAGTAGAAAACAAGTAGAATTTGACATCCAGAACCCCCAGCACACCACCATCAATATAGCAGACTTGTATAATAGACAGCCTTTTGAATCTCGCTCATGTTTCCAGACCTTCATTCCAATGAGCTTTTCCTGGATTTGGTGGACTTGAAATGGCATATTTTCAGAAATATCAGTTGGGCTCTACTGGATCCATGAAATTCTAAAGCCAATGTAAAGCAGAGAGCAACAATAAACTTGACAAGTGAGTAGCATGCTCGCTAACATACGCAGAAAGGCAAAGGCGAATAAATGGGATTTCATGAAAAAAAAAAAAAACTTGACAAGTTATGGGAAACACCGAATATGTACAATAGAATTCAACAGAGGTGTTTGTTGCCTTTACCAACATCAGAAACTTTGGGAGAGACGCGTAGTCTGCGGATGAATTTTTGAGCAGGTTACATTTCGCCAAATTCTTAATAAAGGTCAAGAAACTTACTACTGTAAACGATCCGTTGTCTCTTCTATAATTGGCTATATGTAAACTTTTCCTCAAGGAACAAAAAGTGAATGTCAGCAAAAAAAAAATTATTCTTGATAGCCCACCGCGAGGGTCGAACTCGCAGCCTTCAGATTGCCTACATCGTCATCTCCACTGTATAAGAGTCTGACGCTCTATCCGATTGAGCTAGGCGGGCGGTAAGTGCAAAGAGGCACGTTGCATTCTCATAGCCCCAGAGGTTTTCATCTTGAAAACAAGAATATTCATAACATACTTGACACAAAACCTTTTTCATAATCCGATATGGTGTAGTGGCTAACATTATCGCCTCTCAATTTGTGAAGCGCGATAGCCCGGGGTTCGATTCCCCGTGTCGGAATTTGGCTTCTATATTTTTGAGAGCTTTTTGTCTAATTTGCACAATGCAGCTCAGCGGTTCCTCGGTTAAACTGTTATTGAGCTTTACCCCAATATCCGTGGTAGATTCAGAAATCCCAATTGAAAAAAAAATAATCGCAGGTCGCGCTTACTCCTCGATTTTCTCAATCCCACCCTGTTATTTGGTACTGATGGATAATGGATTTGAGAGCAATGCGATAGCGATAAGAAAGTCGTGAAACTGTAAGGAGAGCATATGTACTATAAGAATAATTTAACGACTAACGACAGGAAAACTACGTATTGATGTTCCAGTGAATATGCGAGAGAGAGAGAAAACTAATGAAGCCAGAAGAAAGGAAAAAAAGAAAAGAAATCCACCTAATCCAATACTCTTACCGCCCAGCCAAACCACCACAACATCATCCCAACCTGCATCAACACCACCGCCAACTCCCCAATTACCGCACACCACTGCCCTAGAATTATCATCCACCACACCGGAATAACCATCCCCCATCTGGCCCACCTCAATCCTAATCCAGATCCGGACTCCTGCACCAATCCACCATCCGCCATCCTCTCCATCCTTCCATCCCCCAACAATCCCGTCAATCCACCCCATCCCCTATCCAACCTCCAATTCGCCGAGCAAACGACCGCCGCCCTCCCCTGTACGACGACCAAGCCGACACTCCCCACGAACAAAAGCATCAACCCGATCCAGTGCCTGACTGACCTCTTCGGTACACGCCTGATCGGGTACCGTTTCGATTCGCCAGTAAACTCGTGTCGGTAAAGAGGGATTATGAGGAAATCTTGAACGTCGTCTCCGATGACTTTACCATATGTACGCCAGAAGGGGGTAATGGTGTCGAGGAGAAGCGTGAGGAAAGACATGCCGAGGTCCCAGAGATGTTGATATTGGTCTCTGTAGCTTTCTTCCAGGCCGGTTATTTGGGAGAGCTGGATGATGAATCAAGTTAGCATTGTATTAGAACAATATTTCTCTTGATTACCTCGGGATAAACAACACTCGTATGGACCAACGTGTCGTTGTACACCTTCTTGACCTCCGCATGAACGATCTGTGTCTCTCTCAACATCTCCGAGACCTCCTTCTCCTTGTCCACAATCCTCATCCGATGGTCTTCTAGTTCTTTCAAGGTGCGAAGAAGTGAATCAATGGGGTCTTGGAGGATATCTTCATCATCAGCGTCGCTCCTGGTACCGTTACTAGTCTGATTTTGATCTAAAAACTCTCTAAAAACCGCCCTCTGCTTCATCAGTCGATGATGAATATCATCTACGGCTCGATAAGATTTAAGTCTCTTCGTCGAGCTCGTCACGTTTGCTGGGTCATGGCTGAAGGCTTCCAGGAGTTCGTGTGGGAGGGTGAGATTGCTTAGATCTGATCTATCTTCCAAGCCTTGATGGTGGTTTTCTCTAAAACTCTGCTGACACACTTCGTATTCGCGCATACGCTGCGCGATGTGATTTAGTACGGAGCGGATGTGGGTGTTCGAATCTTTGCATGAGGCGACGAGTCTGTAGAAAAAGAAAAAGATCAAAAATAAATAGAGAGTGAAATACGATGCACCCACTGAGCTTTCAATTCGTACTCCATATCTTCCCTCGCCTCTTCCGCTTCCTTCCTCTCCTCTCTCTCTTGTCTCCTCTTCATCTCCATTGCCAATTCCTCCTTTGTACCACTCCGTGTAGGTAAAGAACCTTTGTTCCGGAGCCGGAGCGACTGCAGAGGATGGAAGGGATTGAGAGAATGGAGGTTATGATCTGAGGGAGCTGCTTGTGTTCGCGGTAAGGTCATCGAACCTGTACCTGAATCACGACTACCAGTAATTTGAGTAGGTGATATAGATATGACGTTTGTAGTACTCGTAGCAGATGCACCAGGGGTTGCAGCGACGACGTCCTCTGGGTGTTGGTGTTGGTGTTGGAGTCCGGGTCCAGCTTCCTCAACGTGAGCGAAGGAATGATCGATCCCTGTACCTCCCCTTCCACCTTCACCGACATCACTCTGCTCAGCAGCTAAAGGTCCCTTCGCTTCAGACGATAAATTCCCATCATCACTTCCCCCACCAGTGCCGCCAGTACCCTGACGACTCATCGGCCTCCTCTTCAACCCTAGATTATCCCGGATATGAACCCGACTACTCACACTGCTTCGTCTACTTTGAGGGCTTGCGGGATTGGTCGCTCCTGCCGCTACCCCGCCATCTCCTCCTTCTATTCGTACGGCAGTAGATGTACTATCATTCACATTGGAATTACTGAATATACTACTCCACGTCGATTCCAAGCTTCTTCTCGATTCATTCGACGGTCTCGCTGCCGAAGGAGGTTGGAGATACCTTGAAGAGTGATGCTCCTGGGCCGTCGATGCCGATGTCAACACCGATAAGGGCTCGAGAATAGGCTCAAAGGATATTCGACCTGCTTCAATCTGAGCCTGTGATTGTCGAGGAGAATAACGAGAGTTAGAATCGAATTGAGGATAAGGTGAGTTGTGATTGGGTGAGTAGGGAGCAGATGGAGCAGAGTACGTCGATGGAGGGGAGTAAGTAGAATTGGAATAAATCGAAGGAGGGGAATAAGCTGAAGGAGCGGAAGGAGTGGAGTACCCTGAGGGTATTATGAACGGATGTGCCGGTAATTGTGATTGTTCATCGAGCGGAGAGATCGGATGTTCGGGTATCGAACCCATAGGTCGAATCGGATTGATTTGAGCGGGAGGCGGAAGGTTCACTTGAGGACGATCCTTGGCGTTCTGGGCGTGAACGTATTCTTCCATTATCAACGCAGATAGATGCCAGGGTGGTCGAGAAGTGGTGGCTGTGGTGTGATTCTCGTCGTCCTTGTGAACATCTACAAGTTCTCCTCCTTCTGCATGATGCTTCCTTTTCTCTAAATGCTTCAACCAGATGAACGGCTCCGCATTTTCCAGCGACGAACGAACGAGTTTATCTTGTCCAGCGTACCATTTGGATACTTTGAGGAGGTTGAATCCTTGCGTGTTGGATATAGATATAGCGGTGATTGTGTCGAATTGGTCAGATACATCGGGGGCAGATTCAGATGCAGAAGGAGGAGGAGGAAGAGAAAAACCAAAGGAGTTGTATATCAGACTGTATCGCCTCCCAAGTTGATCAGCCGTAATAGCTACTTTCTTGCTCGTCGATTGAGATGAAAGGGTCTTTATTCTAGAGAGTTTGACTGAGGATAAACGAATATTGAGATGAGGCAAGCGGTAGTGGCAGGAAATATCAACGTACCAATATACTCTTCTTCTTGTCTCTTCGATTCCTCTGCATTCGGTAACAGCAGTGCCAACTCTCTTTCTTTCTCTTTCTCTCTTTCTCTCTCTCTCTCCTTTTCCTTCCCCTTCCGCGAAACACTCACACTCAGCGACCACCTCTTGTCACCCTTCGAATCAGTCCTCTCACCCTTCTCGTCCTCATCACCAAACCCAGACCCGGACCAATCCAGTGTCTTGCCACCGTCGCTGGAGAGAGGTATGGGATGTAACAGTCTTCTTCGTCGTTCTCGTTCTCGCTGTTGTTCTTGTTCTTTCTGCTCTTTTTCCTGCTGTTCCTTCTGCTGTTGTAGTTGTTGTTGTTCTTGCGATTTCAAGGAACGAGAAGTGGAAAGACCAGTCGAGGGACTAAAGTCGATGTCCGTCGTCAAAGGTGCGGTGGGTACTGAGGTGGAGGGAATGGAAGTGGCAGTAGGCAGTGAATGACCTAGATGAGATATCCCATTGCTCGATTCCGGTAATATGCTCGATCTGAGAGGAGACGAGGGTCTGTCACTAGGTGATCCGGAAGGGTAACCAGATTTCCTTCGGGCCTCGCGTCTTTGTTTGAGCTTGAGCGCGCGTTGGACGTCTTGTAAAATTTTGGGGTCTACATTTTCATGTTATGCCCATATGTTCATCCGACGAGTGAATTAGAACACCTGCCTTCGTGAGCTGGTAAGTTTTCGAAATGAAAGGTTCAAACATAAGCGGAATGTCAATGAGTAGTCAGAAAGTCAGAAAAAAAACATCAGAAATAACTCGTTAACTCACATAAATCATACTCATCCGAAAACGCTCCGATACCTCCCCATCCTGAATCTGCTGAAGATGAGTCATGTTGAATGTCTCTACTACTGGACTCTTTACTCTCCGAAGCCACCCGTCTGCCAGCTTGAAATCCAGATCCCGAGGACGTTCCCATGCTCACTGTAGGTATCCTCCTGCCCGTGGAGCCAAATCCAGCACTGCCAATCCCAGCAATCCCATTCCTACTACTTCCACCCCCCAAAGACCCATACGCATTCGCAGCATCGACAGAGACTACTCTCCTTCGAGAACTGTTCGAATTCATCGAACTCCCTCCTGAACTTGCAGCGTTACTGATTGTCTTATAATGCGCCTTATTGGGAGTTGAGTGCTGGTGTTCATGTGCATTGACATTATTGGTATTAGGGAAATGGATCCTCGCAGAATTCAACGTGTTTGAGTTCGAATTCCCAGAGTGATGGTTACGGTGAAGAGGCTCAGGTTCTACTTCCTCCTGAATAGAGCCTTCCTTCATCCGAAGGTTCAACGTTGGCTCTCAGCTTGAGCGCGCAGATCCAGGATAATAAAGAGTTGGAAACGAGGGAGATGAGCGAGCGAGAGACACACTTGATTCTTTCATTCCCGACGGGTAATGAACGGTTAGGCGCTCATAGGCGCTTATTTCAACCACACTCTCTTTCTCTCTGCGTCCAACTCCATCATCCCAGCCGTTATCTAACTTTCAATCATATTTATGCCTTCAATTCCCCAGTATATATAGCACTACTTATTCAACCCTTGCATGAATCGGTTCTTAGGATCCGAATAGTATCCAACACCTGAAACGAATAAAGTCAGTATTGATACTTGCTCGCCACTTCATATCCGACCATTCTGACTGTGACAGCATGCAGGCTTTTTCGGAGCATAGATTGAAA